TGAATTTTCTGATTGTTCTACAATGAAAAGTAAAGTTTTTAAATACCAAGAAGGAAGAGTTTTTAAAACGGCTAATTATGTGAAGCAAGGTCCCCAAGCCCTGGTCCGAGGCTCGTTAGGGACGGGGCTGCAGAGCTCCATCTGCTCCCTGCCGTGGAAACTGTCTTCCGTGAAACTCAGGAAACGCAGGGGACAGTGACAGCAGGCAGTGGCGGCAGGTAAGGGACCACTCCCCACTGCGGGCGTCACCGCCTGAGCGCCACCCCCAATGGGAAACTGTCTTCCGTGAACCCAGACCTGGAGCCACACAGGCCGGGGACTGCCGCCCCAAAGAGCAACTGACGGTCACACTCGCGTCCACTGTGCGCCACACCAAAGGCGCGGTTTCTAACTGCTGGTGAGGAACCGTGAGAGTCGTTTTATCAGAAACCCACAGTAAAGAGCTGAAAACAGTTGGTCTGTGCGACAAAAGATAGCCTTATCTTCCGAATTTCATACCAGGTGTTCATACAACACCTCTTTTAAAGCAAGATGTTTTAGGGGCAAAACTTTTAATTAAGCTGTAATCCTTTATTTTGAATGTCATCTCAGAATGTCTCCACTTTCATCACGTTTAAAGCAATCAGTTCTGAAATACGCAAAGCTGCTGTATAAACAAGCACGCTCCGTAGTTTCTCATGCAGAAGCTGCCAACTCGCAGGCCTCTACCGTCAGGCATGAGGACGGGCCGCGCCGAACCACCAGATCCGTAGCCGTCCCCGGACTCGCGTCTCCGCGGGCTGCGGGGCAGCCAGTCACTGCTACACATCCCGTCTGTGAAAGGATATTCAGTGCGTATATTTTCAGAGAAGCTCATTAGACTCCTCTCGACGTTACCGTCAGCCTCATTACCGCGTCCCTCGGAGCTCAGAGGACAGAACGTGCTTCTCTGTGGTCTCCAGCTCGCAACAGTGCAATATAGGCATTTTTCCATAAACTCGCAGGACACAGAGCAGCTTTCAAAACCACAGGACAGGCTGGGCATGGTGGCTCACACCTGTAATCCTGGCACTCTGGGAGGCCAAGGCAGGAGGATCACTCCAGGTCAGGAGTTCGAGACCAGCCTGAGCAAGAGTGAGACCCGTCTCTACTGAAAATAGAAAGAAATTAGCTGAACAACTAAAAATATATAGAAAAAATTAGCCAGGTATGGTGGCACATGGCTGTAGTCCCAGCTACTCACGAGGCTGAGGCAGGAGGATCGCTTGAGCCCAGGAGTTTGAGGTTGCTGTGAGCTAGGCTGACGCCACAGCACTCTAGCCCGGGCAACAGAGTGAGACTCTGTCTCAAAAAAGAAAAAAGAAAAAAAAACCACAGGACACAACACTGATTAGGGACTGTCATGCCGCGTTCTCCTCGGGGGCCACTGACCAGGCGCACGGAGACCTCGGGATGAGGGCAGGACCCCAGGAGCAGTCCCCCACAGCAGCTGTACCCCAGCGTCTCGGCGAAAGCGTCCCTGTCACGTCTGAGGAACGCACCGTGTACCTCCCCTTCTACTCCCAAGACTTCCTGACGCTGGACAGCCACGTGCAAGAACAGGGCCTTCGAGGGATGTGGCCGTGCCTGACCACGGCAAGGGCCACGTCGTCCCTGGCAGTGAGCACGCCCCACTGGAAGCTCGGGCACCCTTGCTGGGCTCACCCCGCCAGCCCCAGCTCCAGAACCCAGGTCCCTGCAGTGGGACGGACGCCAGGCCTGCGACCTGCTGACGCTGAGGACTCGCTGGGACACCTTCCAGGGCGTGCATCCAAGGATGGCCTGAGTGCCAGCCGGCTCCGCACCCGGAGCCCCCAACCACGGCCACCCCGTCCACTGACAGGTAAAAGACGTGCTCCCTGGGCGCTGCGGGAGGACAGCTCAGGAACTGCAGCGGGGGCACGGCCCCTGCAGTGTGGCTGCAGAAGTCAGCAAGGGCTGCCTCCCCAAGCGGGCGGGCACCCGGAGGGACAGTCCCCAACATGCCGATGACAGCCGACAGTCCTTTCGTGCCAGACGTCTGGAGGGATCCAGGTGTCACTGCTGTGGTCATGGTGGGAGGCGTGCGGCCGCCGGCTTCTGCGCCGGCTCACTCTGCTCTCTGCTGCTGCACACGGCGCACGAAGGCCAACTTCCCCTCGAACCTTTCACGTACCAATTTATCCAAAACAAACTTTAAAGGCAAAAACCAAGTCTCTGATTCTGGAGGTCAGAGACTGCACCCCCCACCACTGCTGCCCCGGGCAGGCCCCGCCGGTGCACCCCTGGGGAGCTGCCTCGGCTTCCTCCTGCACCGTCCCCAGCCCGTGTGACGGAGACGCGCTCCCTGCACGCCACGTTCCTGGCTCCTGCGGGCATCTCACAGGTACTTGGTGCCTGTTTAAATGAAAGGCCAGCTCCTAAGCACCAAGGAATCAAGGTTAGTTTCACATATGGCTGGAAAACACGGGTGTTCTTTTTTACACAACAGAATTACAGCTTTTTACACAACAGAATTACAGCGTCTCCTCTAGACACCTTTTTTCAAAATACGCAAATATTTGTTTTAGAAACAAAAACGACATAAGATTTATAGTAGATGCCAGAGCCCACACAAACGCCCACCGACATCCACTCGAGGCTCGTCCCGCTCTGCCTGCTGGGCCTCCCAGCTTCCCCTCGTACCCCCTTCTCTGAATCCCCCAAGACGCCCCCGCACATGGGCTGACGTCACGGGAGCAGGGCAGACCACGCTGGCACGCGGGCGCCCGTGAGAGCGAACGGACGTGGAACAGAGCGGGTGAGACCGCCAAAGCTCCAGGCGCTCCTGCCCCGCGCCCGGCGGGGAGTCTGCGACCAGGCCCAGGCAGTAGCCTGTGCGGAGCTGTGCCCACAGCAGGAGGCAGAGACTCCACTTTTCGGGCCTTCGCAGTGAAGAGACAGCTCGGCAGGGACGGTGGGAGGACCTATGTCCCAGCCACTCTGGGATGCCTCGAGCCAGGAGTGCGATCTGCCCGCAGCACGGAGAGGGCCGGCAGGGAGCACAGCGCAGCCGGCCCACGACAGACCGAGTTACGCCAGCTCAGCGAGGCCCGGAGTAAAACGCCGCTGCCCACCACCCCACCCCCGCCACTCACTG